GCACCAAGGTGTAGAAGGAGTCTTGTCGTTCATCCGTCAGAAATTTTGGATCATCGGTGGTTGACGGGCGCTACGCAACATTACTCAGCGATGTGTTACATGCCGCCGCTACAAGGCTAAGGCTGCCTCAGAAGTCTGCCCGCCGCTGCCGGAAGACCGAGTTGTTCACGAGAGGCCGTTCGCAACTACCGGCATCGACTATGCTGGTCCGTTGTACGTGCGCCGTGGTGAGTCATCTCCGAAGGTATGGATAGCATTGTTTGTGTGTGCCACCACCAGAGCAGTTCACTTGGAGGTGGTCGATAGTTTAAGTACCGAGTCATTCTTGATGGCATTTCGGAAGTTTGTCGCGAGACGTAGTTTGCCGTCTCGGATCAGGTCTGACAACGCTACAACGTTCAAGGCGGCATCTGACAAACTGAGTGTACCATGGATGTTCAATCCTCCAGCTGCACCATGGCATGGAGGCTTCTATGAGCGAATGGTTGGTACAGTGAAGAGTGCCTTGAAAAAGGTAATGGGAACAGCGTTTCTGAAGGTCCAGGAGCTTGAGACCCTCTTGTATGAGGTTGAAGCAGTGGTGAATAGTCGTCCGCTAACTTATGTGTCTGATAGCCTGGATGAGCCACCAGTAACCCCTGCAATGATGATGGGTAACATCTGGATGTCGTCAGAGAAGCCAGCAGGTACCCTGGACGCTGCGCAGATGTCATCGAGATTGCGTTACCTCAGTCGGACACTGGAGCATGTCAAGAATCGTTGGGAGGTGGAGTACCTAAGTCAGCTGAACAAGCACCAACAGACCATGTCGCGCCCTTTAGCTATGGGTGATGTTGTCTTTGTTCTCGATGATACCAAGCGCAAACAGTTCTGGCCTTTGGGACGGATCATCGAGTTATTCCCTGGTCGAGATGGTAAGCGTCGTGTTGCCAAGGTTAAGTTGAGTACCAGTACCCTGTTGAGGCCGATCCAAAGGTTAGTGCCATTAGAAGTATCGTCACAGGACGTGGCCCCTGGGCTTGCCGATACCGCTCAACCTGCTATCGTCCCTCAGCAGCCAGCGTATGAACCGTCAGCACCGTTACCACCACCACGGCAGCAGGAGATGACGCGTTCTGGGCGCGTAGTCAGAGCCCCGGATCGTTTTTGACTTGTGTGCATTGTTGTACGGCGGTGAGAAGCCCTTTGGTGGGGAGAATGTTGTAAACCACCAGTTCTCAATTGGGAAAGGCCTTCGCGCTTATGGCATTGTATTCGTTGAAATGTTGTATTTCGACTCCGCCGTACCGCTGATGTTGCTGCATGGCATACCCTATATGCGTTGTGTGCGTTTTGCTGTATACGCTGTTATGTCCAGTTTTATATGCTTATGTTTTGCATGTACGCTGTTTTTGCATGCTATAAATAGCTGGTGTTATTAGTGTTCATTGTTAATTATTCGATGAAGTGAAATATACTGTCTAAAGGAAAAGAGTTGTCCTCGTGCCGTGTGGTCGTACGATCCTGACAATTTAGAGAATCTTAGAGGGTTCACAACAAGGACATAATGGATACGAGTTAAGAGTAACTCTCCATCACTGTAACTGGATACTATACTTTCTGACTGTATATAGTATCATGTTACAGTGATGGAGAGTTACTCTTAACTCGTATCCATATGTCCTTTTCCTTTCTACATTTATTTATGGCTCAACATCCGAGTTTCAAATTATTATTATTATTATTTGAGGGATTTCCCAAAGGCCGAAGCCTAAATCAAGGGGGTCTCCAAGAATAAATAATATAAGTGTACAATACGTGTACAATAGGGTGCAATTTTTAAAGGAAGAAAATATTTAAAGTTTAAAGGAAGAAAATATTAAGTTTAAAGGAAGAAAATATAACTAATGCGCTGAATATTGTATGTCGACAAATTGTTGGCCCTTTCAAATTTCGCCCTCCCAGGGCTAAAGCCCATTTCGGCCGCATCAAATTTTCGGCCTGTACTGTTGCCGCCTGTATACGCTGTCACACTGAGCCTTGCAAAACAAATTTCCGGCCACAACAAATTTTCGGCCAAACATTATCAGGCGGAAAATAGCCGCAAACGAATATGCGCCGAATATTTGTGGCTTACAGCATTCGTTGACTTTCAGTATTTACTTTAGTCTGGAAAATACACCATCTCAGAAACTATTTTACCCTTCGAAGCCCAGCTGGGTTTTCTGATTTCTCAGGAACTCGCACAGCAATGCTTTATAACGGGTGGTCGATTTCAAAATTTTGTAATTCAATCACAAGCCATGGAGTCTCATGATCTTTAGCTCCCTGAAAAGCATGTGACCTCCTCCATCCAAAGATAAAGACTAGACACTAAGCAGAAGCAACAGAAGCGCCTCCAAGTCCCTTGAGCGCAGCTCTATTGCGCTTGAACGAGATATGCCACCCACAGCAACAATTTCCATCCGTTCTTGACTTTCACTCTACACAAAGCAACGATTCAAAGTTCTTCGTGCTGCTGAAGCTCAAGTGGTCATCTTGGTATCCACTGCGCATGGGCTGCTCTGCTATGAGTGGGGGAAACCCCGTGCGCATGCGAGCCCTATTCGGAAATTTTCAAAAAAATTCAAGTTCGGAAGTATGCAACCGCGTCCGATCTTTGCCGCTCGTGTATTTCGCATCGCGCTGCCACAAGTGACACACCGCTGGAAAGTTTATCGTTTGTGAAAAAAAACAAAGAAAGAACTACGAAGATACGAAGATTTGTACAGTGATCTATGCTCAATATCTACAAATTGCGCTTTTGGACGAGCACACTCGTCCTTGGGAAATCACTAGGGACGAGTATACAGTCGTCCCTCTCTAATCCGGCACTTGTTTATCCGGAACCCTTGCCAACCGGCGCACTTTCTGACGAAACCGATTTTTTTCTTTCAATTCCTACATCTTAATCCGGCAATTGAATTCCGCCTCCTGCAGTGACTTTTTGAAACGAATCGCTCAAACTGCACGTAGTTTGATTTCATAATCTGGCAGTCGTGCACTCCTTGCCAGGCCAGGCTTGGCTTGTCCAGAAGACAACGGCAGTCAACCATACTTTCTTATTTTAGCAAGGAGTAGTGTCCTGCCAATTTTCAGGTGTGTGTGTGTGTGTGTGTGTGTGTGTGTGTGTGTGTGTGTGTGTGCGTGTGTGTGCAAGAGTACATGTGAACATGTTCTCTGTTTTACTTTATCACTTTATCACTGTGTATATTCCCGGAGAACAATTGAGAATATAAAGCCGTGCACCAAATACTTGGGTCGACACGGAAAAACCCTGCGCTTTGACGTACATATGATACATGCATGCAATTGGGTAGGGCCGGGTCAGAGGGCAGGATTTCTTAATCCAGCACCCTCGTTAATCCAGCAGAAAACGCCGTAGCAAAAGGTGCCGGATTAGAGAGGGACGACTGTACCGTCTTCCTTGCGCTTCAAAGGGTTACAAGAGAGTCATCATACTACGGGGATAGCTACCAGCCATTGTACATTGTGCAAGAAAGCACCACTCCCTGCTCAACTGACTCACGCTGCTATCTGGTGTTCACGAGGTGTTTGTCGCGCTGGAAACGGAGCGTCTCTGTAAGTTTGTATCCCTGGTGATGTTTGTACCTGGAGAGCACTATACAAGTGGTGCTCTTCAGGCACAATCTTCCTCAGCCTACTCAAGCTCAACTGATGAGGGGCGAATTCCCCGAAACACTGTGTATTGAGCAGGGAGTGGTGCTTTCTTGCAGGTTTGCCGAGTCGAAGGTTCGATGGACTTCTCGTGTGCTCAGGATGGCAGTCGTGAGTCAGTCAAGTGTCAAGTAAAGCCGGCGGAATAGCGCGAGCTCCGGTGTGGGGAGCAAACCTTTCTTACAAATAATAATAATAATAACTTTATTAGGATGACCCAAAGGCTGACCGCCTATCGTGTGGTCCGTCGCATTGAAGGCTGATGGTACAAGAGAGTACAGATTGGGAAAGGGGGGGGGGGGGACTAGGATGGATCAGTACGCTAATAGTATCCAAACGTACACTTATTCTGTCAAACAAGACTACACAACCGCATGCAGGGAGGAATTTACTGTCATGTTTTTGCATAGCAGTTTTTGCTATGCAAAATCTCAATTGTGGCGTAAGCTACAAAGAGCATGGATAGCCTGTACATGTATGTATGGCAGTTTTCTGCGTGCCACTGTGATTTGTGAGTAGCAGTAGATCGATTTTGCGTAGCAAACTGCGATGCGATACCGGATAAATTCATCCTTGCCATGCACTCTTGGGTCAAAGCAGAGTGTCTTATTCTTACAAAGGAAGACGGTCTTATTCTTACGAAGGAAGATGGTCTTATTCTTACGAAGGAAGAGGCTCTTATTCTTAAAATGGAAGACGGTCTTATTCTTACAATGGAAGAGGGCCTTATTCTTACAAAGGAAGACGGTCTTATTCTTGCAAAGCAAGAGGGTCTTATTCTTAGGCCGCGGTCACACCGAGCCCGATTCAGCCGTTCAGCCAGAAAAGCGCTTTTTCGGCTGAGGTTGCCAGGGAAATGGCTGAAAATCAGGGCACCAGCCACTTTCAGCTTGCAGCCCTTTTGGAAGCGCTGAAAAGCTGAAAGTGGCTGAATAATTTTGGCTGAAGTGCAAGAGTGCAAGGGGAGTTGAAGAACTTGAGTTGACGTTTGTTGCAGTCAGGTAGTTTCTTCCCACGTGGAGATTCAAAATTAGGACGTAGTGTGTACGCAAATCACGTATACCAGGCACAGGGGTCATCCTCCAAATAAAGAAAAACCCGGGAAAACCAGCGTCAGCCAGTGCAGTTTTTTAGTGACCGTCAGCTGCCTAGTCGCAAGCCACTTTCAGCGCAAGCCAAAAACGGCTGAACTTGGTGAGACCGCGGCCTAACGAAGGAAGACAGTCTTATTCTTACAAAGCACGAGGGTCGTATTCTCACCAAGGGCTAATGCAACTACAACTGTGTCTTCTGTCTTGTCTCAGCTCCCCCTAAACTACAGCCTGCAAAGCTATCCCTACACAGAAGAGTAGGCGAAAGTGCACTATTTTCTGCTAGGCTTATCAACACTCCATATCCACCGGTGACCGTCGTCTGGACGCGTTGGGAAATCCCAAACAGACTCCCCAGTGGGGCACACATATCCAGTGATGGCTTGGCGTTGAATATCAGCAATTTAACTTACCAGGATACCGGACAATACAGGATAACTGTCAAGAACACGGAGGGAGAGGATTCCCGCAGAGACTATCTAAGAATCTGGAGTAAGTTCTGCAAATTTTAGTTACAATCTAAGGTGAAAAATCTGTGCTACGTACTCTGTTAGACGATTCTGATCAAAGCATCTCAGGCGGTCTCAAAACTTCTTTTTCTCTCTCTCTCACTCACTCACTCTCTCTCCTCTCTCTCTCTCTCTTTCTCTCACTCACTCTCGCTCTCTGTCTCTCTGTCTCCCTCCCTCTGTCTCTCTCTCTCTCTGTCTCTCTTTCTCTCTCTTTCTCTCACTCACTCACTCTCTCTCTCTCTCCCTCTCTCTCTTTCTCTCCCTCTCTCTCTCTCTCTCTCTCTCTCTCTCTCTCTCTCTCTCTCTCTCTCTCTCTCTCTCTCTCTCTCTCTCTCTCTCTCTCTCTCTCTCTCTCTCTCTCTCTCTCTCTCTCTCTCTCTCTCTCTCTCTCTCTCAATCAATCCATCCATCCATCCATAGATCCATCCATCCAACTACTTCAAGTATCCATCTCACGTTCATTTTTGAAATGGTTCTCAGATTTTGAATGCTTTTTTTTGCCTGATAGTGCCCCTAGGCCTTTTTGATTATGCTGAGCTGAAAATCTGATTGTCTCAAATTGGGCACTCATCGGGTCATGCTACTCAGCTCGTCATGATTATGTCTAGGTTTGTATCTGTACGAACGTGTATTGTATTTGACATTCTTCACCTGCTCCCAGCCCCGTGCCATCTCCACACTCAGACAATGGACGACGAGATAACTACATTTGAAAGACTGCGTTTGTGACGAGACGACGCGAACACAACTGGACATGACGAGTTCAAGACGAAGACTGCTTTTCACACCACAGCAACACGCTCATGTACAAAATACCGTAAAGTACTGTTGAAAGTTTGTTCGATTTTCACAGCATGTTACAATGCGAGGACGCGTAGCGCAGCATGTTACAAGGGGAGGACACGTAGTGCAGCATGTTACAATGCGAGGACGTGTAGTGTTCCTGACTACTCGCCTTGTAAACATGCTGTCAAAATCGAAAAACATGTTTTAAAAACTTCCAAGCAAGGCTTCTGTGCGTAGACCAGTACTGTCGTAGTACGTGATTCCGTGTACGTAGTGTGTACGTCGTGTGTACGTCGTGTGTACGCCGTGTGTACGTCGTGTGTACGTCGTGTGTACGTCGTGTGTACGTCGTGCGTACACGGTGTTGGTGCATGCGCGTATTGCTGCGGTGTGAAAAGCAGTCTTCGTCTTGACTTCGTCATGTCTAGGTGTGTTTCCGTAGTCGTCTTGCAATAAACAGTCTTTTCAAATGTAGTTATCGTTGTCTCATTTTATAAGTGTCGAGATGGCACGGCACTGGGAGCAAGTGAAGAAAAGCCAGCTACTACACTACAACCCATGTTTGCCTTAAATTATGCCTATTGACCCTGTCGTTTTGGCTTTGTTGGTTCACTTTCCCCTCTGGCAGTGCCCTTTCGACCAACGCTTGCGAATGGTGGCGGTGCATTCACGTACAGGGAGGGCATCGAGCGGAACTCCATTCGGCTGGAAACTTGCTCTCCACCAGCATCTGTGCCTCTGTTTTCCGAGGTTGATTCTCTTAGGTGGGAGCGCAACCATGTCAATCTTATAGTGCACACCTTTGTGAACGAAAGCCGGACACTGCCGTTGACTTGGCCACGGGGCGGTGCCCTTGCACCCAGTGACACGGGCACATACATTTGTGTGTGGACATGTGTCCCAGATCCGTGGCAAAGGACTGCGAGGAGTATGCCGTCGCTTGATCAAGTGCGCCTACATGTTGTGCGTAAGTTCTCAGTAACCTGCAAAGAGTGTACTTTTTTGTGTTATTTTTGTACTACTTTAAAATACAATGCTGTGTTGTGTCCTTTGGGGGGGGGCGGGGGGGGGGGGGGCCGGGGGGGGGGGGGGCGGGGGGGGGCCGGGGGGGGGGGGCGGGGGGGGGGGGGGATGCTGTGTGCTTGTTTGGTCTCTGTGTGACTGTTCTACTTGCAGTGGCGTGGCCGGGTGGATAGGAACGGCTTGGGTGCCGGTGGTAATGTAGTAGTGTGGGGTGGGGGGGGGGGGGGCAGGGTGTTGTGGTGTTGCTGGTCGGGGAGAGGGGGGGGGGGCAGGGTGTTGTGGTGTTGCTGGTCGGGGAGGGGGGGGTAGTGTAGTGGTGGTGATGATGGGGTGTGTGTGGGGGGTGTGTGTGGGGGGGGGGGGTGGAGAACGCTTACCTGTTGTGAAGTTGCAACAAACATCAGCAGCATGTGACAAATACTGCATTTCAGGGAGTATAAGGCGCACTGGAATATACGCCGTACCCCATATTTTGCCACGAAGCACAGACGTCTACCCAATGTATGGCCGTCACTTTGACCGTCGTTGGGTAAGCCACACCGAGTTTTTCGAGTGAATCACCGGTGCAAAAAGCGCGGCCCGTGCTCTGAAAACCGGGTACTGGCACACAGGAACACTCCCTGCACAGGATTCCTAGCGTTGCATTCTCGAGCATGTAAGTCGCCACACCGGAGTGTTCTAACCCGCACCTGGGTTTCCTACCCATCATTTATTGGACGAAGTGAAATTTGAATGGCGTTTTAGAAGTTTTCCTAATGCAGCTCCTGGGAGAATAAAGTTCAATTTGAAGTTGAAGCGTGTATTTACCGCAATATTGCCAGTTGTGTATTTACCACCATATGAATCAATTGTGCAAGTCTGTTGTTTAATTAAAGCTACTTGGCCCGCCAAGTTACAATTGGCGCTCATCTTCGCACTTGATTGTTCGGTGTTCGGCCTGTATCATACCGCATGGAACCACCTATTCACCACCCAAACATAACCATAGACCATTGCATCCGACAACATGGCAGCACAAACCATCACAAATTTGTGATCGGTTTGCTTCAATCTGTTTGACTGGTGCTGCCACCGATGAACACTTCCGTCAGCGCAATAAAACGCTGCAATCTCCGCTCCAGTCCGTAAAATAGGTGAGGATGTTCGCACTTCAGAGCGATGGCGAATACAGTTTCTGCCTTCATTCCAGCTGTCTGGTGGCAAGGATGGTTTTCCGCGGGGAGGTATAGAAAAGCTGAAAAAGCACCTCGCGAGTGTGAATTTGAGTGCTCGCACAGTGCAGCGCCTAGTTTAGAGTTATCACCACCAAATCACTGACGAAGAAACTGGAGCTCATATCGACATCTCCGGAAAGCAAAGACAAATCCAGTGTGTCCGCTGGATGGGCACTCTGAAGCTCACAGAGGACATGGCAAATGAGAAGACCAAAATAAACACCAACTCCTGAGGGAAACTCTCGTGCAAACGACTTGCAGGAAACTTGCAGAAAAGAACTACGACTGCTCCAGCGTCAGTGCGTCACTGGTGCAAGGCGTCAGGTGCAGTACGCACGGGTGCTACATCAAGCGGAAGCTATCACTGCGCTACACGCACCAGCAGCTCGCGTGGGTGCTGGTCGGCAAGTACGACAAGCGCAAGAGGCGATTTGAAAAACTAAAAGTGATGTTAGGCCATGGTAAAAAATAAAGTTGATTCTCAGGTCATGAGCCTGTGAAAATCGGTGCGAGCGAGCGATTTTTTATTTTAATTCCCACAATTTGTTTAATTCCAAAGATAGGGTCACACATGTGTACGTCACAGGTTGTTACGGAGGTAGCCTCAATTGAAGTATTATTCGTTCTCGTTCTGCTTCTTTGAATGTTGCTGAACAGTTTTCCTCTCCATGCTCTGCTAAATCGTTGCCTGCACGCGCCACGTCTAGCGCCTTGTTTCTACGCTAGCACTTAGCACCTTATTCGTCATCACGCGCTCTTCTTATCTACATGTATGTGCTAAGTGTTGGTGTAGAGGCAAGGTGTTAGATGTGGCCGCCGCTCTTGCTATATAGTTCATTGGAGCGTAGGCACAGTTGTTGTTTTTCCAGAGTTCTGCTTGTGATGGTATTCTTCTGAATGGTCATCGAAGTAAATCTGAGTATGGTTCAAGACAGTTAGTTGCCTTTCGAGAATATCTCTGGGTTTATGAGCCACACAGGTTCATAATTAATTTATAATTATTTTATTATTCAGGCCAGGGAGTAGAAAAATACCGGTATTTTACTACTCCCGGATTCATGCCTTTCGCATTGACCGTTTTCATGCACGCATATGCATGCATAGAAATAAAAAAAATCGTCGGTGTGCCACCAAAAATCGATGCGCGCGTACTTGAGAATCAAAGATATTTTTTACCATGGCCTTATGTTGCCTCTTTGCCTCGAACAAGGGCATGCATGGTTGTGATGAAGCCGAGACCGAAGGTCGGCAGAGCATCCCAGACCACGCCACCACTCCCCTTATTCATGGCTCACACATGACATCGACGGGTTTACGTGGCTCTAGTAAAAAAATGAATAAAAAATAATAAAAATTATTTGCGATGAACGGGGATAACACATACAGGCACCACACGGGCAGTCTCACTCAGCTTCTGGGCGGCAACATGACAGGCACGACAGATGACTGCCTTTGAGCGTGATTCGAGACGAGGAGAAGTGGAACAAGCTATGAAACGTGCAGCCGCTGTCCGGATCGAACGTTTTGAGCTCTTCTTCCAGCGATGATAGTGGCGAGGAGGATGTGTAACTTTCTACTTCAGTAGGATTTTCGGCTGAGTTGCCTACTGACATGTAAAATATCATATACATAGCGCTTTCTGATCGTGGCATGCTTCGAATGCTTGTATTGTCATCTTGAGACAAGAGTGAAGATAAGCGGCAATTCCAAGTGTAAGCAATTCTAGTGCAGCTAAAGCTGTGTTCACAACTGGCGCGTGTACGCGTGAAACCACGCGTTTGTGCGTATTTTTGCTGGCTTTTGGGGCGCCATGCGTACGGAAACGCGCCGAAATGGAAATTCCAACATGTTGGAATTTTCAGCGCGTATCAGGCGCGTACCAGCGTGCATGCCAGTCACTTTCACTGGTGGGGTCAAAAAAGTTAGTACTCGAAGGTGTCGTATGCGCTGAATACGACTCGAATTGCTGTTTTTTTTGTGAAAGCCTGAACGCGCGTTTGGGCCCGCATGAACCGCAAGCGTACCGCGTCCACGCGCCAGTTGTGAACACAGCTTTACAGCACCATGCAACATACCAATGTGTTTGGAGTGTTTTTAAACATTTTTTAATCGTTTTTGTTCTTCGTTTCTAGCCGAGCCGCGAGTCATCAAGATCACAAAGAACCAGACGAAGACGTCTCTCAACGTGACCTGCTACGTGAGCGGCGAAGATGTGGTTATACACATTTTACGGGTCCGGGGGGAATTCTACGATGAAACGAATGGAAGAACAGGCTCCCTGCGGGCCACCTACACTCAAGCTAACGGCTATGCGAGCGGGGCGTACCGATGCGCCGTAGAGAGCTTTACTTTCTGTAACACAGCTAGCAACCGCAACACTGTGGAGCGTTGCTACTTACTACCAGCGCTTGCCGACATAGAGGTACCACAATACGGTAAGTAATACCGTAGGCTGTATGGTGAAGAAAGGAGAAGGAGAAAATGTTATGAGTCATGACAAACCGTCCACCAGCGTCACCAGACCTTATACAGTCAGCGAGTGCGACAACATGGCACAAAACTGACGAGGAGTACTGAGACGTTCGAGTTCACCTATGGTATGGAGAGCACTTTGAACTCAGGTAGTGATGGTGCAATGACGTAATTTGTACCATAAACATCCCCACACAGCCACCTGGGCATGGTCGTGTGCCGTGTGTGTGTGGGGGGGGGGGGGGGGGGGCTGAGCAGTGCATTGCTGATCCCAGTGTACTCACGTGCATTACTCATACATTCCATATTTGGCATTGTGTAATGGGCTTATTAAAAAGTGAAAAGAAATGTCTGACTATTCAAGATCTGGTTTAGTTGGTGGACTCTAATGCAGAACCACTGTTTTCACACACACACGCACACACACACACACACACACACACACACACACACACACACACACACACACACACACACACACAGTCACACACATACATACATACATACATACACACACACATGTGCGTGCGCACACGCACATGGACACACGCACACACACACACACACACACACACACACACACACACACACACACACACATACACACACGCACACACGCACACATAGCAAAACGAACGTGACCATTTCTATACAAAGCCTTTTAGAAGAGCGACCCAATTACGGTTCTTTCTGTTTCGCTGTATCATCACTTCTTCTCAGCGGCACCAACGGTGGACACATTCTCAACGCTACACACGGATAAAGAGCCAGGAGACAACGCAACATTTCACATCACCCTCACACGCACACCCTATCCACAGCCAACTGTTGAATGGACACACAACGGATATCCAATCAATGTCACCTCGGGCGGGGTGATATTGTCCAATGATGGCTTGTCATTGAAACTGACCGACTTGAAGCTCGCAGACATGGGTTTTTACACTGTCTCGGTGACGAACGAGGAAGGATCCGCAAATGCAACGTTCTCGATTTACAATCCTGGTATGTTGTAATGCGATTGCCTCTTCCTGTCTACCTCACTGTCGGTGTACTTGTCTGTCTGTCTGTCTTTATGTCTGTATGTCTGTATGTCTGTCTGTCTGTATGTCTGTATGTATGTATGTATGTATGTATGTATGTATGTATGTATGTCTGTTTTGCCACCATTTCAAGCATTATTGTCTTGTTTCATATTCTGTCCGTCTGTCATAATTATCACAAAAGATAACCAAGCATTCAAACGAAGAAGACAACATTGATCTTGACATCGTGTCAAAACTGTGATCATGAAGAAGACACGGAATCTTCAAAAATATCTTTCACCGATAAAGGTCTTCAGTTGTTGAAAAGTTCCACTATCTTCTGTTCTATCTGTTGGATATCTTAGCTGGATGCAGCTTGTGCTTTCGCTGGGTATCTCTCCGTATTTCTCTTTATGTGTCTGATGGTCACATGGAAGAGTGAATGCTGTAAGTCGACAAAATTTCGGCCCATTCAAATTTCGGCCTCCCAGGGCTAAAATCCATTTCAGCCGCATCAAATTTTCGGCCTGTACTGCTGCCGCCTGTACACACTGTCACACTGAAACTTGCAAAACAAAAGTTCGGCCGCAACAAATTTTCGTCCAAACATGATCAGGCCGAAAATAGCCGAAAATAAATATGAGCCGAATATGTGTTGACTTAAGCTGTGTTCACAACTGGCGCGTGGACGCGGTACGCTTGCGGTTCATGCGTGCCCAAACGCGCGCTCAAGCTTTCACAAAAAAAAAACAGCTACCCAGTCGTATTTAGCGCGTGCGACACCTTTGAGTACTAATTTCTTTGACCCCGCCAGTCAAAGTGACTGGCATGTACGCTGGTACGCGCTGAAAATTCCAACATGTTGGAATTTCCATTTCGGCGCGTTTCCGTACGCATGGCGCCCCAAAAGCCAGCAAAAATACGCACAAACGCGTGGTTTCACGCGTACACGCGCCAGTTGTGAACACAGCTTTACAGTAGCCGTGCCGCATACTGCGCGCAAGACTTGACACAGGTCCACCGTCGTTAATAGACAACTCGAGGGGGGGGGGGGGGCTGGTTTCAAATTGTTTGTCCTATACTGTTCTGTTAGGTGCCTCCTCCTGTACAGTCTTACCTACAACCTTTCCTAAGCTGGCCGGCTTGCATGCACCCGTACTACGTCATACCCACCTTCGTTCCATTTGGCTGGGTAGCCACTTGAGCGCCCATGTTTGCCATAGCTACCCAGGCCCTTTATATTGCGTTGTTTCTCAGTCGAGCTCTCTCTCTCTTCAATAATCTCGCTCTCGTCAATAATCATAATGTGGTCGTAGTAGTTCGTCTTCGTCTCCGTCTCTTCGTCTACCCTAATAAATGTCGTTCCACCTACCTGTCCCGTTGTGAATTGTGTCTGGAGAATATTGAGTCTAATTCATACTCAACAGTTCTGTAAGGTCATGTCAGTATTTTAACTAGGGCTGAGTCGGGTAGCATTTTCTTTGGGTATCGGGTCCGGGTAGTTTTCCACGGGTAGCACGGGTACCCGATCAGGTAATGTTTCCATGGTAAGACCACAATGCACACCGGCCCCTTCCCTTGCGCATTGGGTAGACATGCGTGAATTATTTGTACACGTGCACTGTACATGATGTCATTTGCGACCTCGGGTTTTCAGGTACTATTCGGTACCCGACTACCCGAGGTCCTCACGGGTAGCACGGGTACCCGACTACCCGTGCACACCACTAATTTTAACGTCAATTAAAGTGAACGATCTCCGGATTTTCGTGGGTTAGCATGGTGACATTACGCTCATGCTTACACAGCTCGTTTGGTTGCAACTTGTTCAATCTTAAAACTTGTTTCCTTGTTCAAGTAAAGTATGAGTGTCACCCTGAAGCCATTCTGTGTGAACTCAAAGTTGTTGTAAGTTTCGCATTCAAACACACACACCATTAGCACAGGTTGGGTATCCTTGAACGTCTTCGTTGCCATATCTTCAGAAGGATTTACTGGCAAAGGTAATTCAACGAGTAACACAATAATTATAAATACTCCAAATGACGCGAGGTGAAATAATAGTCTTTCTGATGGCAACAAAAACGTTTAAGGATTCCTAACCCCTGCCAATGGTGTGTGTATATATGAATACGAAACTTTTTGAATTCTTTATTCTCACGATGGCACCATCGCCAATAAGAGATAAGTTTATGAGAAGGTACTTGCCTTGTTTATTGCGCTGATTTCACTTCTATCTCCACGAAAACTGTTTAATTATTCTGTTTCCCGTATATTGTCATTCCTCCCCAGAAAAACCCGTTGTGGATACATTCTCAGACTTAAACATCACAAGAGTGACCGGCCAAGACACGGCTTTCTACGTCACCCTGAACCACACAATCTATCCAAAGCCAACTATCACGTGGTCACACAACGGATCTCCAGTCAATACCACTGTGGACAGGGTGCAATTGTCCAGGGATGGCTTGATGCTGAGATTGACCAACCTGATGCCCTCGGACATGGGAGCATACACAATCTTGCTGTGGAACAGGTTTGGCTTGGAAACTGTGACGTTCGACTTAGATGTTCAAGGTATAACTTGATACACCTACTTGATTTTTACTGCCTGTTTATCTGTGTGTCTGGGGGTGTGTATGTCTGGGTGTCTATGTGTGTGTGTGTGTGTGTGTGTGTGTGTGTGTGTGTGTGTGTGTGTGTGTGTGTGTGTGTGCGTGCATGCGTGCGTGTGTGTGTGCGTGCGTGCGTGCGTGTGTGTGTGTGTGTGTGTGTGTGTCTGTCTGTCTGTCAGTCTGTCAGTCTATCTTTCTGCCTGTCTGCCTGTCTGTCTGCCTGCCTGCCTGTCCGCCCGCCCGCCTGCCTTGGCTTAGACTTGCAATAGTGGGAAAACACGTTGCATTAGCCGACCTGAGAGCTACGGGGAGGGGGTACTACTTAAACACAAGTGACATTCTCGGCCAGATACGGCTCTTCGCTCTTCGCTCCCAGAACTGTAGAAAGCCCGCTCAGACGGTGCACATCAAGTGGTTGCACACGAGGACCCTATGGCTGGCTTAGACGTGCAGTAGTGGCAACGCGTGTGGCATTTGCTGAACACCAAGCAACTGGCTCACCGCTTACAGTGAAGTGACATTCTGGCAGATACAGCTCGAGTCCCCGTCCGCAGTAATTTATTTTATGTTATTTCATTCCAAGCAATACATGGCTGGGGTAGCCAATGGCCACTTTGCGTGGCGATTGCAGGGTTTTTTATAGCCAACCACATACTGGTCGGCTGCACCACAGGCCTACAGACGTGCAGGCATGAGCTGATTGTAAAGTAACTGGTGGTGTTAATGGATGTTATTGTTTTGGGTGTATCGCACAGCAACCATCCAGGTCCGACAACAACAGAACTACACACACCGAAAAGGCTTCTACTTCATTTCGTGCAAACAAACTCCTAACTAACGAAAACCAGAACCAGCATGATCAGTTCTTCGCATGCGTACCTGAGGGGCCCGCATGCTCGGAGTGTAAAGACCACATGACGGGCGTGAACACGTGTCGCAACGGCACGTGCATGCATACAAGTAAAGTGCGTAAAAGAGTTCATACTACATCTCCCCCCTCCGGGGAACTAGAGGAACTAAAGATGGGAAAGTGAAAAACATGCGGAACGGTAGAAACAATACTGAGTAAGACGGCGGGCCAATACACATGAGAGAACAAGAACTCTTGCAATGCGTTATGATTGAGCGACCCGGAAACAGGAGGTTGAGAGTAGCGTCCTAATCCAGGATCGCCCAACCAGAGCGTGAGGAGTCAAAGCCTAGTATTCAGCCGCGTAAAGGTACTACTTCGAAGTAGCAATAGGAATAGAGAGAAAGCGAGAGAAAGACAGACACATATCGGCACGCACACACAAACGCACGTGCATACGTGCTCGAACACACAGTGAGAAAGTGACAGGAAGAGAGAGAGAGTCAGATAGCGATCAGGTGATGCCGGGTTCGTCGTACTTGTCCGGATGACAACTGGATTATGTAGGATCGGGGTTCAGCTGATCTTGCTACCACTGTACCCCTCTCCCGGCGACCTGGAGTCGAGACATCGATCACGGCCGCGCCTGGGGGGAGAGCGGGCAGGATAGTCGCTCTGTGCCGCAGGTCGTACTGAGCTCCGGACTTCTGGCGTTGCGCTGTGTCGGCTGCACGGAAGGCATCCGTGTCCACTGAGCAGGGCTGGAGCTGGGCTGACTGTGATGGAACCGGCGTTGCGAGGCGGCGACCCATGAGTAGCTCCGCCGGGCTGTACGGCGCGAAACTGAGGGGTGTCGACCGATATGCCAGCAAGGCATCATATAAGTCAGCTGCTGAGGTGGACTTCTTCAGGAACGCCTTCACGGTGCGGACGGCACGCTCAACCTCGCCGTTTGACTGTGCGTAGTGAGGGCTACCGGCGGAAGCCGGCCCTGGTTGCAAACCGGGCAAACTCAGCGGACGAGAACTGGGGACCGTTGTCCGATCGAAGGACTGCTGGAATGCCATGTCGGGCGAAGATTGAGTGGAGATGGTCGATGATCCGTGCTGATGTCGTGGAAGTGAGGGACGCAATTTCTGGATAGCGGGAATAATAGTCCACCACCACCAGGTACTGAGCGCGGTCGAGCTGGCAGAGGTCCACACCAATGGTGTGCCACGTGCGAGGCGGTGTGGGGTGAGCGAGCAGAGGCTCGACCGGTGGCGGGCGGAAGGCCTTGCAAGTGCTACAATCTTGCACGAGCGCCTTAATGCGTGCGGTGATGCCAGGAAACCAGACTGACACTGTGGCGTGTTGGGTTGTACGGGTGACGCCCTGGTGACCGGCGTGAAGACGCTGAAGAGTATCGGCCACCAAGCACTGGGGAATATAGATCCGGGAGCCTTTCATAATCAGGCCATCGAGCAGGACGAGGTCAGAGCGGACAGGCCAGAACTCACGGAGGGGCTGCGGTACATCGCGGATAG